TTAGTATTTATTTCAAATTTTAATGTTATTCATGTATTATTAAAATTTGCAGCATTGTTAGTTATAATTCTGTTTAGTAATTTCATGCTTTGAGTTTAGAAGCAATAAAAGAGTGTGCGGTCTTGTGCTGATGTGGCCTTTAGAACTACGTGGGTTGAGTTTGAGTGGGAAAACAAGGTAAATTAATCTCACTCCTCTTTCTCTCATTTGGTGTTTTTTAAAAACCAATGGTTTAAAACAATTATGGTTTTACCTTTTATTGCTCATCCCTCTTTTCATTTTTAAAAACAGTGGGATAAACAACTTCTAGGTAGTTAGGATTCATGATTCATAATCTCTATTATTGGGTTGTTGCCCCTTGTGTTATTATTAAATTTTAAATTATTGCTCTTATAGTTATGTTGTTTGATTTTATGACTGACATCATTATGTCTGCAATATATGCTTTGATGATCATTGATATAATTTTATTTTCACATTGAAGTTGGTGTATCTATTATCCTATCAATGAATCCGAAAAGTAACATGCTGAGTCTATATATATTTTTGTCTGTGTTGAGTAAATTGACATCTGTGATGTGTGTTTCAGGTGCTCCTTCTTTTTATTTGCAGCTGAACTTGTGGAAAGAGTTGTCCTTCTTGGAAAGAGTTGCTCCTTCTGTCTATATATATTTAGTTTGACCTTAATTTTACGATATTCATAAAATATTTGTAATTATCAGTCATATCGCTAAATATTTGCAGTTATTAGTCGTATTGGATTTTTTTCTGGTAGTAATATACTACATATATGTAAATGTTAGTGATTTCATAATAAGAATTATATATCAATAACATTAAAGTCTCATTGAATCATCTAAGATATGAATGGACTTACCCGTGCGGACGCACGAGTCTTCTACTAGTTTATGCATAAAAAAAGAACTCATATTTTTGTGCTAAAATAACATGTCGCGTGAATATAAAAAAAAACGTAGCTCTCACCGTCGCCTTTAGAGTTGTCCGTGAGGTCCACCTTCTCACCGTTCGCTAACCTTTTTCACCTTTCCTATCGATTTCAATACAACCAACCACGTGTCCACCTTCTCACCGTTCCCAAACTATCTTCTAATTTACACATATCTCAAATTCTCAATGCTAAATCTGAAAAATCCAACCCTTTGAATGCTTTCATCTCACGTGATCCACCTTCCTTCATGCTCACTTCTCTATCTCTTTTCTCATCTTCAATATAAAAAAAATTGATTAAATACTCTCATCTTCATTTGATAATAGTTAGTGTGTTGAAAATACAAATAAATTTTAAATTTCCCATTTCATTTTTTCTAAAACCAAGTTGTAGTTATCACATTTGAATAGATCATATCAATTAATAAGAACTATGACATACTAGACATATGTCAAATCAATTTTTTTTTTAAATGGAAAAGTTTATATTTTATTATTATTCTATTTAACTAAAAGGATTAGACTTTCACTTATAAAAGAATTTTTAAATCTATCTAATCGGCAATATTTAAACGAATATAAATAATTTTATTATTATTATTATTATATTATTCTTTAATTAAAATAAAATTTAGTTATCTTAAAAAATTTACAAATATAAATTAAAATTTTGTTATGACAATGTTATAGACTATCTTAAATAAATAGTCTTATAAAAGTTATACTACTATATTTTAGATAAATTCATTTGAACAAATATTTAGTTTTATTATTTTTAGTTTGTTAATTTTTTAATTACTTTTTAGAGTTTTTAATTACATAAATGGGGTTAACATATATCAATTAAATGTTTGAAAAGATCAAATTCATATCTAAAAATAAGTCTATAATATATTAAGGGTCAAACTTTTTACTTAATATTTGAGAATTTTTTAATACATCTAATATGTTTTTTTAGATATCACATAAAAATACAAAATTTTTAGAGTATCTTCAGACGCATCCCAATACACATTGAACATAGATCATTCTGAGTGACGCCTTATAAATTGAGTATTTTTAATTTCGGAGATGCATCTCTAGTATACGCATTCAAGTTTGTTGGACTCAATCTTTCCTCCGTTGTCAATCGACAATGAAAGGTACTCAAGCATGACGATCCTTCGATTGTCTTCGTAAGATAGAAGATTATGGATTTCATATTTAATATTTGCGAGAGAGGTGTACTCGGTGAGCTTAAACTTTCGCCCGGGTGTCAAGCTGGAGAATGAGAGATTTGTGACATACTAGTTGATGTTTATTTATGACATTTGAGACATTTTTAGTTTGTGTGAAATATAACATAAGAGCACCTTAATTTATAGAAGCCATAGATCAATATGAATCACTCAAAATCTGACATGTTGATTCCGAAGATATATCTCCGGTTCCGTGCCCTATAATCTTGTTCCGAAGATGCATCTCCAAAACCTCTTATGAATAGGTTTGAAAATAAAACTTCTTTTTTACAAAAGAACAAATATTGTTATGGGAAAGGTTAAACTGCATTAAGACATAGTATGAACAAATATTGAATATATTACACTTCATTAATATTGAGATACAATTTACATATACTTATTTGTCCAGTTAAATAAGAAATTAAAACGAATTGAAACATATGTCGCCAGCTAAATCTATGGGTGATACCCCCTTTGACTTTTGTGCATTTGATTTTCTTTCAATGTTGCTCAATTTCTCGAACTCTTACATGTTTTCTATAAAATGATTTGGCCAAGTCTTAGCTTTTGTTGTTGAATGAGTCGTCCACTCTAGTGATGTAAGTGGTATATGGCATTCTGATTTCAAGTAAACTTGAACAAAATGACTTGATGTTTAAAGTCACCCAATGCACATAATATGATCATTTGATACCTAGACAAGTAACTATTATCATCTAATAATTTCAAGAGTTGTCGCATTTCAGTTATATCCCCCATAAGCACTTTGTTAGTTTGGTACCAAATATTACACGCTTGTTTGATATTTGATATATTTTCAGGTCTTTTCCGTTTCAATGTTGCAAGTGTATTTTTTATTGAACCAAATTCAATGTCTTGTCAGCAACGCATTCCTTCTCTTCAGGCATGAGCAGACACGCACTAGAATGACTGGCTAATTTTTCACACAAATCATGGTTATGCAAACCACATATGATATTAAATCTCCATTTTTTGTTTGCCAACATGTAACCACGCACCTTAAACGGACACTCACATTTTCTTAAATCAATGTCATCTCTTTTAAAATTTCGGAGAGGAGTTCTATATTTCTCACTTCTTTCGCACGTCATTGTCACAAAAGCGCATCTTCTATCTGAACTATTATCAGACCTTTCGATAATCACACCAAATCCAAATTTGAAGGTCTCCATACGAATCCATTGAAATATTTGATCACGAGACTCAAACTCTTACTCGTTTTTAAATTGGCTGCCAACAGCTACCGCCTTCACAACAACATCTTTGACATTTGGAGCAACAACTTGTTTGGGAAAAATATTGGAGTGCACCATATCTAGTGAAAACAATTACTATATAACAATATATATATATGTGCCACTTCCGAAAACAGAATTGGAAAATGAACACATTTTTTTTTTTGAAAATGCATCTCCGAAAAAGTTTATAATTGTTTCGGAGATACATTTTCAGACACAACACTTATTTTTTTCAAACAAAAAACATGATTAATATGAGCAATACAGTGTGAAATAAATGATATTTACTTGAAATTCTAACTTTTTTTGTCCCTTTAATGTGATGAATTACATGATTGGATATTTGGAGTGAAAAATTGGATTGAGAATAAAAGGGTTTTTGGTGAGAATTTTTAGGGAAATACAACAATGGTTGTATGATCCTGCAATTGTGTTTTTTATCATTTCAAAAATTCATCTTCAAAAATATCTGACGTGTAAAGGTGAGCAGATTAATTATCTAACAACATATCTCAAAATTTCGCCCAAACTTTCAAAGATGCATCTCCGAAATTTTCACTAAATTAATTAATTATGAATATATTTCTTGAAATATTCTGGAAATGTATATCCAGAATAAAAATACTCAACTTATAAGACTTAACTCACTATGACTTGTGTTGAGTGTGTATTGAAAAACATTAAAAAATGCATATCTAAAAAATAAGGACATTTTTATATTTTCGCATGATGTCTAAAAAAACATATAAGGTCCATTAAAAAATTTCTTGATATTTTGATAGATTAAATTTATTTTTTTTTAAAATTATTTGGACAAGACTTATTCCAACCTCTAATCAAAGAAATATAGACTATCCCATCAATAAAAATTGAATATAGCATAAAGAGGATGAATTATTGGAATTTATGTTCCTTCCTCTAAATCCACTAAATTTCAAATGTCATTTTTAAATTAATTCTTGTCATTCTGAGTTGCGGAAAGTTCTATATAGAAAATTATTGATTATTTACTTAAATCTAATGTTATCAGTTTTACCCATCGTGGCACGTGCTATCATCCCAAAATTAAAATTTTCTAATTTTAGAAATTTAAAGTAATCAAAAGAAATAAAAACAATCTTACAATTTTCGAAGAATTAAATTGACTAATTATTTCTATTTCCTAAAGAAAATAAAGTACACATTTTCTAAGATATTTTCCCATTCTTTTCATCACAATCATACTCCACACACACCCCTTTCTCTCTTTCTGTGCCTCACTCACACTTGAGGTATCATTTAGCATCATATCTTCTGATACTCTTTCGTGGCCTAGCAATTCCATTCCTTCAAATATCTTCCCATATTCTTCCAAATCCATATTCTTTTTAATCTCTTTCTTTCCCATTTCTTCAATTATTCAACCTCAACTTGGAACTGGTACTTTTCTTTTCCGTCATTTGGGATGTTATTTATTCATGATCATTTTCATTCATACTATATAAAGTTTCTATTTTTGTCACAATTTGAGTAAAGGGCTACTCTAATTTTTTGTTTTTTATTTTCTGATAGGTGAAAGATAAGGATTTGAAAAATGGGTTCTAAAGTAGAGACTAATGGTGGTGCCGCTGCTTTGGTATCTGCTAAAGTTCCACCTTTGGCCAATCCATTGGCTGAAAAACCTGATGAGATTGCTTCTAACATCAGTTACCATGCTCAGTATAGTCCTCATTTCTCCCCTTTCAAATTTCACCTTGAACAAGCTTACTATGCAACTGCAGAGAGTGTTCGTGATCGTCTCATTCAGGTATACAATATTACATTTACTTGGAATTGGGATCTCTGTGCCTGTGTTTTACTTTTTGAATAATCAAAATTTGGAGTGTTTTTCCTCACTTTTAAGTTTAGGTTTGTATATGATTAATGCTAATATTTAATATTGATGTCAATTATTTCAGCAATGGAATGAAACATACTTACATTTTCACAAAGTTGATCCCAAGCAAACATACTACTTATCGATGGAGTTCCTTCAAGGTCGAGCTTTGACCAATGCCATTGGAAATCTCAATATCCAAGATGCATATGCTGATGCTTTGCGCAAATTTGGACTTGAACTTGAAGAAATAACAGAGCAGGTAAAAAAAAGTTGCAACCTTTTATGTGAAATGGTATATTTTTCTCTGAAGTATTTATATTTGTCATGAATCATTCAAATGATTGTTATTTCTCTCGTTTGGTCACCGAGGAATAGTAGTAAAAAATTGAACTTTCTATGCTCAAAATGAAAGCTTCTTCTATAAATCTAAGTTACTTTATCTGTGATTGGTTTTGATATCTATTGTATAAAAGTTGATAGATGTACCCTTCAAAATGAATCTTTGCAGGAGAAGGATGCAGCATTAGGAAATGGTGGTCTTGGTAGGCTTGCTTCTTGCTTTCTCGATTCCATGGCAACACTTAATTTGCCTGCTTGGGGGTACGGTTTGAGGTATCGGTACGGACTATTTAAGCAGATAATTGCAAAAGAAGGTCAGGAGGAAGTTGCTGAGGACTGGCTTGAGGTTTGATTTATATTCCTTCTTTTTAATCCATGAAATTATATCACATTTTTGCCGGATACTGATGCATAAAATTGAATGTATCAAACAGAAGTTTAGCCCTTGGGAAATTGTGAGGCATGACATTTTGTACCCTATCAGATTCTTTGGCCAGGTCGAGGTTAACCCTGATGGAAGGTAAGTGTAAATCTACTGAGTTATTTGTGAAAATTAGCTGTACGATGCTTTGATACATGATTTTCTATGATAGTGAAAGCTAGGCTAGCAATTTGAAAGTACTTACAGTTTGGTGTGTATGCCAGCCGACAATGGGTAGGTGGAGAAGTTATTCAAGCTCTAGCTTATGATGTGCCGATTCCTGGATACCAGACCAAGAACACCATCAGTCTTCGCCTCTGGGAAGCAAAAGCATGCGCTGATGATTTTGATTTGTTTTTATTCAATGATGGGCAACTTGAATCTGCTTCGGTTCTTCACTCACGAGCGCAACAGGTCGGTATCAGAGAACATTTAATACTTTTTAGGAATAACCATGCTATTGTCAAAGATCCGGGTTTTATTATAATTATAGAAATGAAATACATAGAGAGATAAGCATGTCTTCGCCTTTATAAGATTTCAGATCAAATCCTATTGAATTTTGTTTTCTCCTCAACCCTGATTATCACCTCACCTTTTAAATAAAAATTAAATATAAAGGTCCGTGAAGCAGTTTCATATTAAAAAAATTTGTTTGTAGATTTGCTCGGTTTTGTATCCCGGTGATGCCACAGAAGGTGGGAAACTCCTACGGCTGAAGCAGCAGTACTTTCTCTGCAGTGCATCACTCCAAGTAAGTTAATTCATCTGGTAAATCTCCTTTTCATTTGGCAGAAATGCTTAAGATTACAAAGGTGGGGCCTCACAAAGAGATAAAGCATTTTTCATTGGCCAATACTTCATGATTTCCAGCAAAACACAAACTGAACCGTCACTTGGTCTTTTGAATGTTTTCATTCAATTTGTGTGCATTATCTGTCGTAACATATAGCATTGCTCGTCATTTTAAGTGTTCTTTTTGTTGTTTATGCTCTTTCTTAGTAAAGAGTTAGGATTTGAAACTTTTGGTGGCGGTGCAATGTAGATGATTGTATTATGCTGGTTTGATGTTATCTTAAATTCTTAATTCAAAGTCTAAATCACCTTTCATTTTAAAGTTCAAAAGATATCGCTAATTTATTAAATGTAACAAAGAATGTATTCTGGTCCTATGAAATGGATATTTTCAATTAGATAATCAATTAGGACCAGAGTTACATCATTTCGTGTTACCAAATACCAACAAGAATATAGGTACATATTTTGTTTGACAGAATATTCTTACTATTGACCTCTTGTCTTGGACTAATTACAGGACATTATTTCCCGATTCAAGGAGAGGAGGCAAGGACCTTGGAACTGGTCTGAGTTCCCGACAAAGGTTGCTGTACAATTGAACGATACCCACCCAACCCTTTCAATACCGGAGTTGATGCGATTACTTATGGATGTTGAAGGGCTTGGATGGGATGAAGCATGGGCGGTGACATCAAAGTCAGTAAATTGTAGAACTTATTGCGTTGCGTGGAATTGTCGTTTCCCATTTTCTTTCGACTTCATTCTTACATGTCAATTGCTAAAATATGATGCTATATCTTAAACCAGGACGGTTGCTTACACTAATCACACTGTCCTCCCCGAAGCGCTAGAGAAATGGTCGCAACCTGTTATGTGGAAACTGCTTCCTCGTCACATGGAAATCATAGAGGAAATCGACAGACGAGTAAGTTGCTTGTTTTCATTGCTTCTCTTCAATAAACCCAGTGAAAGGTGTGTACTGACATATTTGACGCGTTAATCATAAAATGCTTGCAGTTCGTTGCATTGATAAGTAAAACCCGTTTGGACCTTGAGGACGAACTTCCCAACATGCGCATCTTGGACAATAATCCTCAGAAACCAGTAGTTCGGATGGCAAATTTGTGTGTTGTTTCTTCTCATACTGTAAGTGATACACTTATTTGAACTTCGAAGTAAAGTCTCATCCATCTTACCCAATTCATGTCTTATATCCTCTAATTTCTCCAATACACTTATGACGTCGATTGATCCATTGAACTGACCCCATCTAATGATTTCAATTGAGATTTATTTACTTCTTGTTGGCCCGTCCTATTATAGGTGAATGGTGTTGCCCAGTTACACAGTGATATATTGAAGTCAGAATTATTTGCAAATTATGTTTCAATATGGCCAGCAAAATTCCAAAATAAAACTAATGGCATTACGCCTCGAAGATGGATCAATTTCTGCAGTCCTGAGCTAAGCAGGATAATCACAAAGTGGTTAAAAACTGATAAATGGGTAACCAATCTTGACTTATTAACAGGTCTTCGTGAGGTGAGTACCTGGATGCTTCTCTAAAGGTAACTAACAAATTCCTATTATTGCAGCATCTTAACATTCAATTCGTGGTTTTTTCCTATAGTTTGCTGACAATGAAGATCTACAAGCAGAGTGGCTGTCTGCAAAGAGGGCTAATAAGCAGCGCTTAGCGCAGTACGTTCTGCAAGTGACAGGGGAGAGCATTGACCCTGATAGTCTATTCGACATTCAAGTCAAGCGTATCCACGAATACAAGAGGCAGCTGCTAAACATTCTCGGTGTGATCTATAGATATAAAAAGTTAAAGGTATGTGAAATAGCTGGAGTACGCTTTTGAAACTCTCTTTGTTCTAATTTACTATTTTTTTTCTGACACTTTTGAAGGGCTAATATAGGGACACCCTTTTATCTTTTGAGAGACTATAATAAATATTTTCTTTATAACTAAACTATAACAATAGGAGATGAGCCCTGAAGAACGGAAAAGCACAACTGCACGCACGGTCATGATTGGAGGAAAGGCATTTGCGACATACACAAATGCTAAACGGATAGTCAAGCTTGTCGATGATGTTGGTTCTGTTGTAAACAGTGATCCCGAAGTCAATAGCTACTTGAAGGTAATTTAATTCTGCATAACTTTTTAGATTGCAGCAGTGCCATTGTTCATAAACTACAATGGTTTATGCTATGCTTTTTAAGTAACATATTGTAATGAAACTTGTTCAAACCTTGTTTAGGTTGTGTTTGTGCCAAATTACAATGTATCAGTGGCGGAGGTTCTTATCCCAGGGAGTGAGCTATCGCAGCATATTAGCACTGCAGGAATGGAAGCAAGTGGCACGAGCAACATGAAATTTGCATTGAACGGGTGCCTCATAATCGGTACATTAGATGGAGCTAATGTTGAAATCCGAGAAGAGATTGGCGAAGAGAATTTTTTCCTCTTTGGTGCAACAGCGGATGAAGTCCCTCGACTCAGGAAGGAAAGAGAGAATGGACTGGTAGTTTTTTTTTCTCCCTTTTTTCACATTCTTCTTTAAAATTTTCATATAAACTGTTCTTAAAACATCACTATTTTTATGATGTAAAGTTCAAGCCAGATCCTCGATTCGAAGAGGCAAAGAAGTTCATCAGAAGTGGGGTGTTTGGAAGCTACGACTATAACCCATTGCTTGATTCATTGGAAGGAAATTCTGGCTATGGTCGTGGTGATTACTTTCTTGTTGGTTATGACTTCCCAAGCTACATGGATGCTCAGGAAAAAGTAGACGAAGCATATCGGTAAGACTCAATCTCCTGCGTTTTCTTGTTTTAATATTTCAGCTGTAAAATCATCCAAAGTATGTATTGTATTGTTTTCTTGGTTTGTTTTGCATGGTGCAGTGATAAGAAAAGGTGGCTAAAAATGTCTATTTTAAGCACTGCTGGGAGTGGGAAGTTCAGCAGTGACAGGACCATTGCTCAGTATGCTAAGGAAATTTGGAACATTGAAGAATGCCGCGTACCATAATTTCAGCTTGCATCCAAGGCTCTGTATAATATTAGAGCATTGAAATTAATGAGAAGTATATAGTCATGAATAAAAGAGAACATAACTTTCTATATTTGACTATAGTATGCTGTATCAAGTTTCAACTGTGATATTATTATTGTAAGTGTCGTCTCTCTTATTCAGTGCATCTGTTTCTATATTATGAAAATAAATTTGTAACATAATATTTTTATTCTTCTATTATTATTATATTTATTATTATTATTATTATTATTATTATATTGAAATTGGCTTAGTCTTCAAAATTGATATTTGTAGTTAAATATATTGTTGGAAATTCACCTCACACCCTATGAAGAATTCCCTTCAATCTTGATCTCAAGATTGATGAACAAACCCACAATATGATAGTAATGGTAATAACAAGTAATTATCAAGAACAACAAAAGAAAAGAAGAACAAACAAGAAAGAGAAGAATGAGAGAAGAAGTATTTGGAGAGAATGTATTACCACAACTGTGAGATTTCTTATTGAACTTTCACTTGCTAACTGCAACTGTGAAATCTGTTCTGTTGTGATTTAGAATACAAAGCAAGACACCCTATTTATAGTTTTAGGTTTACACTAGCCCAAAACATAAAAGACCCAAAATATTAATATCAAATCAAATCATATCAAATCAAATCTATTTACACAATGAATTATATTTAACACACCACCTAATTCATTGTGTCTAAACTGTCTACATTCATCATGGCTCTTAGTCTTCTGAAGGCTTCGACCTGCACTCCCTTCGTCATGATATCTGCAATCTGATTCTCAGTTCTGCAGTGTTCCAACTTCATCTTCCCTTCTGCTAGCTGCTCTCGAAGATAATAGAACCTCATTTCGATGTGCTTGCTTCGACCATGAGCTATTGGATTCTTCGCCAAGTTGATAGCTGACATGTTGTATATCCTCATGATAATTGCTCCATGATTCTTCCCTGTGATTTCTTCGACCAAGTTCACCATCCAAGTTGTTTGACATGCACAAAGAGAAGCAGCTATATATTCTGCTTCGCATGATGACAATGCCACTACTGGTTCCTTTCTCGAATTTCAAGCAACTGGTGCACCACCTAACATAAACACATACCCAACTGTGGATTTTCGATCCTCAGCGTCACTACACCAACTGGAGTCTGTGTATCCCACTAACTTGCATTCTTTTCCTTCATCAGCTGCTGGAAACAAAATACCATAGTCGAGAGTTCCTTTCAGATACCTCAGTATCCTCTTCGCCGCTGCTAGGTGTGATACCTTTGGCTTCTGCATGAATCTACTTATCATACCAACACTGTATGCTAAGTCAGGCCTTGTGTGACAAAGGTATCTAAGAGACCCAATAAGTCTTCTGTATTGGGTTGGGTCGACATCATCTTCATCTAAATCCTTTGACAGTTGCAATCTGGGCTCAGCTGGAGTCGAAGTTTGGTTGCAATCTTACATTTTAAATCTCTTGAGTATTTCGCCTGCATATCTTCTTTGATTCATCATCAAACCTCTACTTGTCTTGTAGAATTCGATGCCAAGGAAATATGAGAGATTTTCCAATTCTGACATTTCAAACTCCTTACTTAGGTCATGTTTGAAATCTTCGATTTCCTTCTTACAACTCCCTGTTATCAACAAATCATCAACATAGAGACATAGTATAAGCAATTCGCCATTGCTTCTTCTTACATATACTTCATGCTCAGTTGTACACTTCACAAATTCCTTCTTTCTTAAGAAGCTGTCGATTTTCTTATTCCAAGCTCTTGGAGCTTGCTTAAGTCCATACAGGGCTTTATGAAGCCTGTACACCTTTCTTTCTTCGCTTTGTTTCACAAACCCAGCTGATTGTGTAACATAAACTTCTTCGTCTAAGAGGCCATTAAGGAATGCACATTTCACGTCCATCTGACATGTGTGCTAGTTGTTCATATTTGCTAGACCAACAACCAACCTGATTGTTTCGATTCTAGCAACAGGTGCGAATACTTCATCGAAGTCGATTCCTTCCTTCTGAAGAAATTCTTTCGCCACAAGTCTCGCCTTGTGTCGAGTTACTTCTCCTTTAGGATTTACCTTCACCTTGTAAACTCACTTCACATCAATTTCCTTCTTGCCTTGTGGCAATTCGACAAGTGACCAGGTATCATTGACTTCGATGGACTCCAACTCTTCAGTCATTGCTTTCATCCACTTCGAATCTTTCAATGCCTCAGCTGCATTGACAGGTTCGACATCTGCGTAAAAAGCATAATGTACCAACTCACCCTCTTCATCGACTACATCATCTGATGTAATTACACATTCTTGCAACCTTGCAGGCATGTGTCTTGTTCGTCGAGGTCTGCTTGAACCTGCTTCATCTGCAACTGGTTCCTGTCGAACTTCTATTTCGACTTCAGTGGCTGGTTCTTCACAAGAGATTCTCACTGAATCCTTCTTGGCATTCTCATTCCAATCCCATTCTTTAAGCTCATCTATGATCACATCCCTGCTGATCACTACCTGCTTATTCACTGGGTCGAACAACTTGTAACCTCCTGTCGAATGATATCCTATCAAGATCATCTGATTCGACTTATCATCAAGCTTCCTTCTCAACTGATCTGGCACATGTCTATGTGCTATAGATCCAAACACCTTCAAGTGACTGAGACTAGACTTGACACCAGACCAACATTCTTCTGGTGTGATTCCTTCAAGCTTCTTCGTCGGACATCTATTCAATATATATGTTGCTGTCGAAACTGCTTCTCCCCATAATTCTTTAGGTAGATGTTTTCCATTCAACATACTTCTCACCATATTCATGATGGTTCTGTTCTTGCGTTCTGCAATTCCATTTTGTTGTGGAGTGTAAGGTGACACCACCTCATGCACAATCCCTTCTTTTACACATAGTGTATCGAACTCTTTCGACACATACTCTCCACCACCATCAGTCCTCAAAATTTTCAGCTTTCGGTCACTCTGTCTTTCGACCATGGACTTGAATCTGGAAAATACCTCAATCACATCACTTTTCTTCTTGATGAGGTAAGTCCACAGCTTTCGACTGTAATCATCTATAAACGTGACAAAGTATCTATTGCCACCAATCGAATCTACCTGGATTGGACCACATACATCAGAGTATATGACTTCAAGTATTGCATTCGACTTCCTTCCTGCATCCTTGCTGAAGCTATTCTTGTGTTGTTTCGACTAAACACACTCTTCACAGACTTCACTTGGAATGTCAATTTCTGGTAATCCTAAAACCATATTTCTTCTCTTCAGTTCTCTGATGTCTTTAAAGTTGAGATGACCTAGTCGAAAATGCCATAACCACTCATCTCTGCTGGCTGCAGTTGCTAGACATCTGTGCTCCATCACATTGAGTCCAATCTTGAAGGTCATATTTTGAGACATTGGAGCCTTCAAGATTAATCTACCACCTGCGTCGAGAACTCTCATCATCTTGTCTTCGACAACTACCTTGTAGTTCTTTTCGGCAAGTTGCCCTATACTGAGCAAATTACTCTTCATGTCTGGTATGTATAACACATTGGAAATTGTTGACCTTTTGCCATCTTTTCTCATAATCAGAACATCACCAACACCTTCAGCTGCTAGAGTGTTGTCATTTGCAAACTTCACTGTGTTCTTCGACGAGGGCTTCATGTTGACAAACCAATCTTTCCTTCCAGTCATATGTGATGAGCATCCTGAGTCCAAGTACCACTAATCTTAGAATTTTTCTTCAACTTTTGTTGTGACCATTAGCAACGTTTCTTCTTCTTCATGTTTCGCTATCTTTGCATCAGTCTCTTGATTTCTCTTCCTTTCTGGATAATCACTAAAATAATGACCATACTTTTGGCAATTGAAACATTGAATGTGGCTTTTGTCTGTCTTTCGACCACCACCTCTTCCTTTACCTGCAGCACCACCTCTTTGTTTGCCTTGGTTCCAAGGTTTCTTCTGATTCGACTGGTTTCCTCCTTTGTTGTCATTCCAGTTACCTTTGCCTTTTCTTTCCTTTTCTGACTGCGCCTGCAAAGCCATATCTTTCGACTTTCCTGCGCCTGCAAAGCCATATCTTTCGACTTTCCTGCAGCTCTCTCAGCCATCCTCTGTTCATGAGACTCAAGAGTCCCTTGAAGCTCTTCCTTCGTCAATACTGACAGATTTTTCGACTCTTCTATGGCAACTACCACGTGGTCGAATTTTGGAGTCAACGATCTCAAAATCTTTGAGACAACTGCTTTCGTCGTTAGCGCTTCTACACATACTTTGATTTGATTCACCAACTTTGTAACTCTGGTGAAGAAATCTGTAATGCTCTCGTTGTTTTCCATCTGAAGCAACTCATAGGTTCTCTTGTGAGTTTGTAACCTCACCTCTTTCACCTTCTCTGCGCCTCCAAACGACTTTTCAAGAATCTCTCATGCTTCTTTTGCTGAATCAACATCACTAACCTTTTCAAAGTTATCAGGATCAACACACTAATGAATTATAAAGAGTGTTTTATAATCCTTCTTCTTCAATTCTTTGTGCGCAGCCTTTTCCGCCTCCGTTACGTTCTCCCCAAGCGATGTTACTCCGTCCTTCACAAGATCCCAAAGATCTTGATAACAGAAAATCACCTTAATCTGCTTGCACCAATTCTCATAATTGTCTTTCTTGAGAATTGGCAGGGTCGCCGAAAAGTTGTCGTTCGGATAATTCATCGCCATCACTATTTTCCTTCCTTGAATCTCTCAACCGGAGCTCTAGATACCAGATGTTGGAAATTCACCTCACACCCTATGAAGAATTCCCTTCAATCTTGATCTCAAGATTGATGAACAAACTCCCAATATGATAGTAATAGTAATAACAAGTAATTATCAAGAACAACAAAAAAAAAGAAGAACAAACAAGAAAGAGAAGAATGAGAAAAGAAGTATTTGGAGAGAATGTGTTACCCACAACGGTGAGATTTCTTATTGAACTTTCACTTGCTAACTGTGAAATCTGTTCTGTTGTGATTTAGAATACAAAGCAAGGTACCATATTTATAGTTTTAGGTTTACACTAGCCCAAAACATAAAAAACCCAAAATATTAAAATCAAATCTAATAATATAAAATCAAATCTATTTACACAATGAATTATATTTAACCTATATTCCTTTCGATAGATGGTTTAAATACTTGTAACTTGTCTAAAGGACGATTTTATTCAAAATACTTCGAGCTTGAGTCTGATTTTTCATTTGGTTTTTGAGGGGTTGTTGAACATTCACGATAGTTCCGATCCTATTTATTAGAAAAGATAGACCTAGTAAATAATCCTATCTCCGGGTCCTATTTATAAGAAAAGATAGACCACACCATATTGTGACCTTATTCTAAACATAAGGAAAAACAATAAACTAAGGACATGATCTCAAAATCACAATGAACCCTTAAGAACCTGCAATGTTTGGTTTAGAGCATGGAAAAGTAATTCAAGTGCCAGCGGGTATATATAACATGACATTAGGTGTCTCAATACAAATACTGAACAAAACTAAAGAACTAAGAACTCCAGCTACTACTCTAAATATGCTTCTACGCCAATAAGACTACTATTAAAGCCGATCTAGGACAGACTAGTTGTTCAATTTGAAGGAGTAGATCCGGGAGTATTAGACCTTGAAAAGGATCTAGAACTCGCCCTTACACTTGAACTTCTTGATCGAGAATGATTATGTTTGGCATAACCACCACTCCTTCTAGAGCTTCTTGAATGACTCCTTCCTGATCTCTTCCTTGGCCTGGGGGAGACACTTCGAACAGGAGAGGCACTCCTTGAGTAGCTCCTCCTTCTTGACCTTCTTGGCTTGGGTGAGACACTTCGGGAAACTGACCTGTAACGGTACCTTCTGTAGTAGCTATCATCAGGTGAGTCATATCTAGAGTCATAGGGAGAGGGTGACGGGACACGCGTGCTGACAGGAGACCTGCTGTAAGGAGAGCGAGACCGGGAATATGACCTGTGTCGGTCATAATAATAGTATGACCTGTGTCGGCTAGAGTATGGCGAGTATGCCCTCCTTCGCCTGTATTCAGGAGAGTAGGACTTCCTTCGCCTGTATTCAGGAGAGTAGGACCTCCTTCGCCTGTAGTCAGGAGAGTAAGAGCGACTTCTACTACGATCAGAAGGTGATCGACTGTAGCTTCTTCTATATGGAGAATAGCTAGGAGAACGTCGAGGAGAGTAGCTTGGAGAACGACGACGTCCTGTATTTATCAAAATGATAAGGATTTAAAAATAAGAATAATTGTGCACAACCATAAATGAAGTCACAAGAAAGAACAATGAAACACACCTCGAATAGTCCTGAGACCTAGATATTTCCCAGGTGTTGGGGTTCGACCGCGTCGTCTTCTAGCCTGCAGTAAATGCAGACAACAGCATGAGGACAAGATATAACTTGCACATGAATGTAAGCAACAATGTAATATCCCAATATAAATATTTAGTCCAAAATATATATAAACCCTTTGTCAGAGTAGGGTCTTAAGAGTCATAAAAATGAAAGGAACATGGAATAACAAGATATAATTTATAAATGCGAGAAAAATAAAAGAGGGGAATGCAGGGCATACAACCCCAACGATCTGATACTTGTTGATGTATTTGATTTGTTTGTTAATTGTGATTTGAGAGTTTGATGAAGGGCTGCTTCACACCCTAACCTGCTGCCACAGAAACTTCAAACCGAAAGAAGCATAAATCTTTCAAATTTCATAAAGAACTTAAAAAAGCAAATCATCCATAGATCATCAATGCAATGAAGTTGAACAAAATTGAAAACAATTGAGAATAAAAGCCCCCAAAATGTGACATTTTTCATTTAATGTACCTTCTCCACCATGATAACACGCCCTTCAAGTACAGAGCGATCCAAATACTTCACACAACGGTCAGCTTCTTCTAGAGTATCCATTGTCACAAATCCAAAACCACGGGATTCCCTTGTCCATGGATCAACAACCAGATGAACATCTATCACCTATAAAAACAACTCAAAAGTAGAAACATATTTAAATTTTAAGGAATAATAAACCACTTCAAAAGCAAAATGCTTCTGCAGTTCAACAGCTAGACGGATATCTATCACCTAGAAAAATGTACATAAAACTAACAAGAAACCTCAAATGAATAGAAGACAGCAAAGAACATACTTTTCCTTCAGCGGCAAAATGCTTCTCCAGTTCTCTCTTGGTGATCCTAGGAGACAGTCCGGTCACATACAAATTGTTTCCCGGATTTTCAGCATCTCGAGATATGCTCCTAAATCACCATAACATATCGTCAAATATGATAACAGAGAAGCACTGTATCAAACCCCAATAATTAATTCATATAAAAATAGTGATCAAGGAATCCTACCTTGAACGGCTTCTGGATCTGGACCTTGAGAGAGACCTGGACAAAGACCTACCGTAACGCCTGTATGGTGAGGGAGAGGGTGAAGGAGAGGGCGAATACCTGATAAACCAGAATTGAACGCACGCATAAGCTAAAATGCAAAAATGCACACCACTTGAATTCAAATAGTAAATTAGAGCACTCAGTAGGAAACTAACCTTGACCTTCGTGAGTAGGACGTCTGCAACAAATAAGCAAGAACCAAAAAATATAAATCAGTACTTTCACACTAAAATTATTAAGGTATCATTATAAGAAAAATTTTATTTTTTAAATTCATTGAATAATTATTGAATATAATTTATAAAGTATACCAGATACATTCCATATTCAATGAATCTATGAAGCAGATTTTTTTCTTATCTTTACATTACAAGAGTCACTAGCCAAATAATTAACTTCTCATACGAATCTCTAAATTTCAAAATCAAATTGCACCAATTTCAAATTCATACGTTATCGACCAACTTCTACAATGAATTGGACGAAATTCATGAACAAAAATAAAACAAAATTCTTCAGAATCCGAAATCAACTTAACACGGGATTAGTTCAAGAAAATCATTTCCAATGCTATAGCAAAAAAATAAATAATAATAAGAGCATCACAACTAGGGTTAAAATCTCCTAATATCAATACATGCATAGATATAGTTCAATTACACATGAGAATAAATAAAGTTGATGACAAAATCGGATAGATTGTTCTTTGCATGTACAAAGAACGATGAGATAGGTACTTACCATAGTTGAAGGAGAGAACTCGAAATTTGTGAATATGGAGAATGATGAGAATCAACGCTATTTGTTTGTTTTGGAATCAAATGGCGTTGGAGAAAGAAGGTGGTTGTTATATAGAATGTGAAAAGTGAGGCTATGATTTGTCTGAAGAGAAGTTTCTGGAGAATCGGACGTTAAAGCAAAGTTCGACACGTAGGAATTCTTTATGGGCCGTGGGCCGTGCTTTTTTACTCTTTTTGATTTTGAAGAAATCTATCTGACCCCACATACTTTTATAATACAAAAATATCTCCTATTTCTTTTAATTAACTAGTTATAAACTTTTTTCTCGGGCCCCTTCATATAAAAAATTCTATATTAATTTTTACTGAATTATTTGATATATTTGGTGTATATTAATATTTTCTCACACCTCTTAAAAAATCAGCAGTGTTATTTTTAAATATTTGTGATTGTGTCAACACTTTTGTAAAATTGTGATTAAACTGACAGTTTTGTGTGGTCCATAATAATTTAAAACCTATATAAATATTTTTCATATGTTGTAACAAAAACACCTCTCAATATCTCAATTGTGGTATCTCGCATTTATGCATTTCAATGACGTGATTTCTCTTATTTATTTTAGGATTAAATATGACACCCCTCTTTATGTTCTGAAATTCAAATCGGATAATATCTTGCGCTACCCAAACAACATAAGGGTGGTTAAGATCGAGTGTTGTTTACCGTCGATTGATAACAAATGAAAGATGGTGTTCAACAAATTTAAGTTGAAGATCAATGAAGATTTAAGAGTTATGTATAACACATATCACTGATCCGAAACAAAGGATCAGATCGAGGTGGATTCGATGATTGCGAGGTTTATCAGCGATATTGTTAAGATGTTGAAAGGTATTGAATCATCTAGTAATATTTAAATTTTATTCATAATATTATTTTGTTAAATTAGGTTGAGTAGTGTTCATGTTAAGTTATAATCATCTGCAATAATGTAATGTTAATTTTCATATAATGCAATGTTAAGATAAATTATCAACAATATACAAATAATTTACTACAAATTCAAAATAGTGTCAACAACGATAAATAATGAACAACTAATAAAATTTATGCTAGTCCACCACGAGAAACGTGTGCCATCTGAGATAGCATAAACCTCACAAGCTAAGTTTATCAAATCCATGAGGATATCTGAAAGAAGTTTTACCATCTATAGTTGTTGCGGGTGGGTCAATTATACCAGGTAGGGTTGGACAAAATTTTAAAAACCAACACAATTCGACATATCCACAAGGCCTGCGGAGACATGGTTTGGGTTGGTTGGGTTTTCGGGTAATCAGTTTGGGTGTTAATTGTTTTACATGGGTTTGGGTGGTCGGTTTTAGATGGTTGATTTGAGCCCATGTAAAACCAAATTTGATTGTTCTAGTAAGTTATGTATTCTAAATAATTTATTACTTTAGTAGTGAATTGGGTCTGACTCTAGATCATTTCACCTTACCTGACTCAAAATAAAAACCTAAAACAAAACACTCATTTTCAATCTGTATTCAGTTCATTTTCATTCAGTCTTTAGGGTTTCTTTTTCTTTCATTTAGTGCTTTCAACTCAACGACACAAACAATTTCATTCTTCATTCATCCTCTCGCCATCCTCGAGTTGCAGTCGCCGCCATGCACCACCACGTCACCACTTCGCCACCACCAATTATGTAAGTACGTCATCTCTCTCTCTCTCTCTATCTCTCTCTCTCTCTCTCTCTCTCTCTCTCTCTCTCTCTCTCTCTCTCTCTCTCTCTCTCTCTCTCTCTCTCTCTCCTTTCCTTAGCATTTTTGTTACTACTACTACTACTACCTTAACAGGGGCTAGACATTTTCAAAAAAAAAAAGGCTTGGAGATGTTTGTAACACTTGTTTGTTTTTATTCCTAAGAATTTTTTATTCTATATAATAAAATCGATTTTTTTTCAATCGGTGTTTATTGTTTACTCTGAGTTTGAACTCTTTTTTCTTTATTGTGCATATTTTACTTTTTCTTCTGATAAGACAAAGCAAAAATATATCATTTTTTTGTTTTAATAATGTTATGTGTCGGACAAATGCCCAGTGACCTACTGCTCCGCATCGGCCAAAGGCCCAATAACAAAGACCCACTTATTCCATATGTTTCATCAAACCCAATGTATAAATACCTTCATAAAGGGTTTTCATATACATAATCTCTAATCTCCACTTTCACAACCATCTTGAACCCTAACTAATTTGAGTGTTGGAGTGTTAAACATGCAGATACCTCTTAGATCCACTGTATCGAAAATGACAAGCACTAATTCAAGATTGACACCGATCAAAGACGTTATTTCAAGATGGAGTACTATTATGTATTTTTTTTTACAGTAAGAGAAAAAAGCTCACCATCCTGATGAGGTGGGCAATTTAAGTAAATAACTAACAAACTACTTGCAAGACTTTGACTTAAACATGAAGATTGTTGTATTTGATGGGTTTATTTTAAAATACTTAATCGAACATATTGATCCATTTTAATTGATAAATAAAACAAACCGAATCCAATCGAATTGCATTAAAATCCAGTTGAAATTGGGCTTGACAAGTGCATTCATGGCTTGGGGCGACTTGACATATTGGGCCCGAGTGCAAACCAAATTGGTCGAGTGTCAAACCTCAATGCCCAGTGGAAGCGATGGCAAATCATATGAAGTTTCTCTATCATGGGATGGTTTTACATTATCTGTAGGATAAACATGTGGGATGATGTGATGCTCTAAATAACCATATATACATTTCATAAATAAAGACACCTCTGTTGCATTCTCTCTTATAACAATGAAACTACTGACAATGTCAGTCTTAAACCATAAATCAACCCCTCATATGGCACAACAGGGGTTGGCGTATGAATGCCTTGAACATACCCAAATTGGCGCAAACACCTCTTAGATAAATATATAGCCATAAAACTCTCCCATCGCAGATAACCAAAAAAAAACAGTGTCGTCAAACTTTTAATGCACTATATGGTATGCATGAGGTGTCCATGTGATATCATTGACAGTTTGAGCATTGATCCTTTGCATGTACTCTAGAAGACAAAATAAATAAAAATGCATGGAGATTTATCAAATGGCTTGTAGGGAGCCATCAATGAGAAAACCACGATCACGCCTATTACAAATGGATGAGAAATGCTCACTTATTCAACACTACATAATGAACACAAATTACATATATGCAATTTCTTTGATAAATAAGAATGGAATAAATAAAACATAATAAATATTCATACCTTAAGTAGGCTCGTAATTGATAAGTTCTCTCGTCTCAAAGACAGACGCCTCTCCAAGGGAAATATATAAAATCGTCAAGGCAACATGACCTGATGTCCAGTCGAGACGCACAAAGTCAGCAACCAGTGATATGTATTTCACGTTGATGTATAAATGAGACTTATTTGCTAAGTGTTGCGGTGAGAATAGGATATCAAATTATTGATTAATTTGAATCACAAATCTTGAATTCACAATCGGTCTTTGATTTATCCAAAGGAAAGGTTAAAGAAAGAAAAACCTAATTTGCATCGTAAACACAATGCGGGGGGATCTAGGATTCGGGGGTTGGTTATACCTAGGAAAGGTGTTAGGATCCTAAGCATCTGTAGTACTCTACCGGAACCTCTTGTTTGAAATGTGCTATTTGTTAATCTATCTGTTATATGATATGCTAAAGGGTTGAAGGGAGACCTAAAGGGTTAGTCCTAAGTATACTCGCCAAGAAATCACATCTTGTGCCTACGTATCCTGACGATAATGGAATCAGAGTATTCGTAGTTCCCCTAAACGAGGGTGAGGAACTCTTGATTGTTGTCAAGATTCCAGGGGAAAAGTAAGTGTTCATAGTGAGACACTTGCGTGGAGTGTGGCGACTCCAAGTCTAAGTTGAGTTGAAAGAGAAAGGTAAGTATCCACGGCGGGAACTTACGTGGATTACGGCAACTCCGATCCTAAGGCTAGGATGATAAGGAGGTAAGGAGTATCCATGGAAGGATAATAAGTGGAGTACAGAGACTTCTATCTTAAGGCTAGGATAAGGGGAAAATAAGTAAGGATCTAGGCTTAAGAGTGACATGACAGTCAGTGAAGAGGACTCTTTTCCCTTGAAACGGGATGAACACGGTCAATAGAATTAAAAAGCATAAATATGAACAAATAATGGCTTAATGTACAACAAAAATATTTAAGTCATGTAATCAATCACAATGGATAGGCATAATCATTTAATTTCCCCAAGTATCAGTTAAAACGGGGTACAACGGATAATATGGAATCAAAATTATTCAGAGTTAATAACAACAAAGATTGTCTGGATTAATTTTATAATTTTAAACAAAATGTTTAGCGTTAATCAACTTAACAAAATTTAATAAAAACCTGAATAATGAGGAGAAGTTGTATAACCCGAATAACTAAATTCTAAACTTCTCAAAATTTAAATAAAACCTCAATTAGAACTTATTATCTTTTATTTTAAGATTAATTAGAAGTATAACCAAATCAATTAGAATTTTTAGCATTTCTCTCAAATAACAAAAAAAAATAGTTAACTTGGAATTAACCTAAAAAATATAATCAAATTAAAGTTTAATTTCTTTTTTTTAAAGAAACCAAAATGGGCTAGGCCAACTGAAAAAACAAAAAAAGAGTTTTTTTAAATTAAAAAAACAAAATCTGGGCCGGTCATCACACCCGGCCCGTTGGCCACCAAACAAAAAGAAAAAGGAAGTTTTACCCCATACCCCTACACTTATACCTATACCCCTACATCAAAAAAATTTGGACCAAAATATCCTCGTATAAAAATTTATTATTTTTTAATTTTTTTAATATTTTTTTATTTGTTTACCGGAAGATTTTTTGGAAGTCTTCCGGTTCACATTTTTTTAGTATGTTTACCGGAAGACTTTTTGGAAGTCTTCTGGTACAT